TCCGGAGGTGTTTACCATGAGGCCGAGCGGAATGCTGGGCAGGCTGGGGACACGGGCCTTAGCGTTTCTTTACAGTATACTGGGAAAATAAACTATTCCTAACATACACGGAGCGCATGAGTCAGAATTACCAGCACAAGTCAGTCTTGCAGAAACTTGGAGAACAAAATGACGCTTCAGAAATGAAGGTGCAGAGTAGTAAGCAAGTCTTCCACAGTGGCCTAAGACTGTGGTCCTAGAGTTGGAATTACCCCACCCACGAGCAGTGGCCACTGTGTAGGCCAACATGCTCAGCCGACCATGTTGGAGGAGCTGGAGGCTATGAGCTGATGGGCAGGTGAGAGCCGGTGCAACGTCTGCACGTCTGGTCAGTGCTACCTTACATCCCCTACCACGAGTCCTGCCAGATCACCGTGGACCCCTCTTCCCACCCTCACCCCACACCAACCACAGGAAACGAAAGCAGCAAACCCTCCACCACACACTGGTGGTCAAAACATCTTCATAATATGCAAGGGAGTTATTTTTGTATGTCCACTATGAGTATGCTAATGGAATTCTTAAAGAATCTCATTTTGTAGTATGTCAAGTAACTCTAAACATGGCTAATGTACAGAAAATAGGCAAAAACAGCAGAGAAACACATGAAGGACAATAAAATACAAAAAGTCAACAAAATCAAACCCAGCTCTTAAAAACAGAAAATTCTGACTATAATGTGCCACCAAAAGCACTTGAGCTTGCTCTCAGGACCTGGGCACACAGCAAACATGGCGGGGGAACTGCCCTGAGCCTCAAAACTGACTTGGGTACGCAGCGGGCCCGCTGTAGTGGCGGGCAGTGCTGGGCCTAGGCGGAGACATTCAACCCGAACTACACAAAACATTTCAGATACACAAACGCTAACACCGAGGTAAGCCAGGCAGCTGCAACTATAACCTACACAAACTTCAACATATAGGAACAAAACTTTACTGCAATGGTTTCTCACCCAGGATGTGATAAGAAAAGCCTGCGGATAAATCATTATAGCGTAACAGCGTAACCAGATAAAACAGCAACAATCATCTGTCAAAATAGGTGCCGCCTAAGTGCCTTTCATCGTCATCCGTCTGCTGTTTTTACTTTCTAAAGGACATCTCTTCGTGGCCTTGTTTTCATTCCAGTCAGGCCAGCCGCAGCCTTCCAAGCACTGGGATTGTAGCACTGGGAGCATTTGTGATGGCTCTTGAAGAGCTTTTCATTCTAGTTGAGTTCAATTTATGGCTTTTTTTTTCCCCTCTCAGAGTTACTATGTATTGTTAGTAGGGAACTTCTGCTTGCCTCAAAATTTTCTGTTGTCTTCTGGAAGGGTATAGTTTTGTCTTTTTTATTGTCGCTGATCCACTTTCAATGAATTTCTGTGTACAATGTACAATGTCAGCTTTTCATTGCACATTTACTCTACAAACATCTAGTTGTACTCTGCTCCCTGCTAAAAGACAATTACTTGTCCATTAAATGTCAATGGTATCTATAATCATGCATGTAATTTGTGAGGGTGGAAAGATGATTGGTATTGTTGTGAAAAATGTAACCCTGAATGTGCAATGTATCGTAAGTGCTATCTACAGAAACAAAAATCTGAGTTAACATGCATGTGCGTGTGTGCACGCGCACACACACACACACACACACACACAGGACAGTCATCTAAACACATATACCTGGAGATCCTAGTGGTTTCCATTTTTCACTGTGTGTTGACATTATTAAGTTTTAATTCTTAATTAGGCTCTGAGTAAATATGCTTATTTAATTCCTGCTATTTCATTATACTCTTTGGATAACTTATAAACTAAATGGATTAAACAACAAAACAGAACACATTTGCTGGGCGGGGTGGAGCACTTGTCTCTTGTGTGCTAGGCACTGAGTCCCATCTCCAGCATAAAAAGGAGGGCCACGAAGGAGCCCCCAGCCTGGGAAGGGGAGAGGGAGCCCCGGGACTCAGTGGGCAGTGTGGATTCTCCACGACAGCGGTTGCTCTTCCGCCACTACCGGGGTAGGCAGGTTCCCAGGCTGGACAAGTGCTCATGGCGACTGGAAAGAGAGTGCTAGCTTGGGGCTGGGAAGGTGGCTCAGTGGTAGAGCACTTGCCTTGCATGCTCGAGGCCCTGGGTTTGATTCCTCAGCACCACATAAGAAAAAAAAGAAAAAAGCCGGAAGTGGCGCTGCGGCTCAAGTGGTAGAGCGCTAGCCTTGAGCTGAAGAGCTGAGGGACAGCGCCCAGACCCAGAGTTCAGGCCCCACGACTGGACTCCCTCCCCCCCTCCCCAAAAAAAGAGAGTGCTAGCTAAGCTCTGTTCTGCACGCAAAGGAGGGGCAGGGCTGCGGGAGCCAGCTCACCACCACAAACCCACCACCCCACTGGCCGACACTTACCGCGCTCGCTGTAGTGTGTTTTCCCCACCCCTTTTCATTCTTTCTTATGGGAAAGAGGCAACCATAAAAGTGGAATTTAAAAAATAAGACAGCTAACAAAACCACAGCATAAGGAAGAGAAGAACCACCGTGGGATCTGCCGATAAACACGTTCCTTCTGGGGCTGGCTCACCCACCCACGTGTTTGTAATGAAGCCCTGGCCGGCTGCCAGCTCGCAGCCGGGCACCCCGTATCTGTGACACATACTCGGGGTCCAAATTACAGCGCCGGGGATGGGGAAGAGCTCCAAAGTCATTTTCTTTTCTTTTCTTTTTTTTTTTGGTCGGTCGTGGGGCTTGAATTCTGGGCCTGGGCACTGTCCCTCAGCTCTTCAGCTCAAGGCGAGCACTCTACCACTTGAGCCACAGCGCCACTTCCAGTTTTCTGGTGGTTTATTGGAGATAGGACTCTCATGGTTGTGGAGAGCTGCGGGAGCCGCGACCAAAGACGGCTGCAAAAGCAAAAATGGCAGGGCCGCGTGGTGCGGCTGCGACCTAAGATGGCGCAGACTTCCGCCTTCCTTGTGATGAGTGCTCTCTGTAAAAAACAACTCCTTATATGGCTATGACTTGGCTCCTAGTTTGCTTCCGTGTTTGCAGCCCTATCGGTATATGCCACATGGCGCTTCAGGATTGGCCATCCAGGAGGCTTATAACCGGAGCGCGGGGGCGGATGGGAAGGAGAAACAAGGAAGAAGAAGGAAGAAGCGGGCAGGAGAGAAGTAGGAGAAAAGAAGCTGTAAACAAGGTCCTGAATAAACCGTCTGAAAGAAGAACCTGTTGTCGCGTCATCTTTGCGGGTCGAGGCGGTCGCGACACATGGTCTCTCCTGCCCGGGCTGGCTTTGAACCGTGATCCTCAGATCTCAGCCTCCTGAGTAGCTAGGATTACAGGCGTGAGCCACCAGCGCCCGGCCAAAGTCATTTTCTTTGTTCAACGGGGCCAGGGTTAAGTCAGAGAACGAGAGCTTTCCAGTGCTCTGCAGAAGGACTTCCTGTAACAAGTGTGCTGCTCACCGGCTCTGAACCGGTGTGATTACCCCCCAGCTCCCTCTTCTAGCAACAGTTCCCGACTCCTCACCCTGCTGCCCCCCTGCTTCCCCTCTGAAATACCAACCTCTGAACTCTGCCTCCAGTGACAAGAAACATGTCTTGTGGCTATTCTGTTTTCCTCGTGGTGGTCCTCAGAGCTTCTGTAGCTCCCTGCCCGCTCTCCCCACACCCATCTCCCTCAGTTCTACTCACGCCATTCTTCCAAAAGCACATTCTCTGTCAGGCACCCTCTCTAAAAGGCTGCCGTCTCGTCACCCTTGCTCCATGGCCTGACAGCCCCCAGTCACAGGCTAATGCCCTGACATCGTCTCCCCCAGTCTGACAACCACTCTCACAATGTCACAGCTCCCGTGGCTCACGTGAAGGATTGCGGCGAGACCCTCGGCTTCGGCGCCAGTCGAGTGCTGAACACGTCCTGGCCGTGCCCAGTGATGGAAAGGCCACAGCACCCGAAGCCCCTGTAAGGCCGACGCTTACTTTCACCAGATAATGGAGACATGGCAGTGACGGTAACTGGCATCGTGCGAAGCTCACCGTCTCAGGGACGGACGCCACACGGACACCACGCGGGAAGGAACAGGATGCATGGCAAAACTTGATAAAAACCATGATTCTGACTTACAAAGGGGCAAAATGTTCATTCTTACTCTTACTCTTTCTTGTTGTTTTTTGTTTTCTCTTGCTGGCCCTGGGGCTTGAACTGTGGGCCTGGGCACTGATTCTAAGCTTCTTTTGCTCTAGGCTAGTGTATCCACTGCACCACTTCTGGCTTTTTCTGACTAGTTTATTGGAGGTAAGAGTGTCATGGGGGCTGGGAAGGTGGCTTAGTGGTAGAGTGCTTGCCTAGCATCCATGACGCCCTGGGTTTGATTCCCCAGGACCACATACACAAAAAATAAAATTAAAAGAGAAAAAAATTATTAAAAAAAAGTCTCACAGACTTTCTGCTTCTCATTGCAATCCTCAGATCTCAGCTTCCTGCTTCAAACTGCAATCCACAGCCTCCTGAGTAGCTAGGATTACAGGTGTGAGCCACCAGTGCCTGGCTTAATTATTTAATTTCTAGGAAGCTCATTATACCATTCTCTGCTTTCTGTACCTTTCTATACATTCATAAATGGCAAGTATTTGCAAAAATTGCTTGGTCTTCATAAGATCTGAGAACAAACAAGCCTCTTCTCCAATGAACTAACCAATGTACCAGAATGTTTAAGAATTCCAGAGAACTAATGCAACACACACACACACACACACGTGTACACGCATACACGTGCACACACATACTATAGTAAGTACCTTAAAACCTGGAGGCAAAAAACAATTCTGTCAAACCAAGGACTGAGGCACAGAAAATCAAATCCATTCTAGGAAGTGAGGTGCAGGCAGCAGTACACCTAGACTAAGTATGTCAGGGATAATGAAGCCAGTGCCGGAAGAAGAAGTCCTTCTACTAAGCACTGGCCTTCAGAACAAAGCTGTACTTACTTCATCTCCAGAACTTCCTCCAAGTGTTTCCTCCTCTCGGCTCGAAGGTTGGTCAAATGCGTCTCCTTCTCTGCCAGGGACTGCTGGGTGGAGGACAGCTTTGCCTTCATGGACTCCAGTTCCTGCTTGACCTTCTCCATGGCCATCAACAGCTCCTCCACCTGCGGGGAGTGCCGGAAAGGGAAGAAAGCACACACTGGTCACGTCTGGTGACAGGAGCCAGGCCACGTGCAATCCTGAGCCCATGGCCGTGAGGACCTGCGAGCAGAGCACACAGACACCCACTCCTCCCTCAGGAGGATCCACGGGGCAGATCCCCTGACGCTGGAACTCTCTCAGGGTAGGTCAGGAAGCACTTAATCTCCTCTTGGTTATGCTTGGATATAATGGATAATTTCCTTTTTTGGCAAGGGCAAACAGTCACAGGCTGCCTTTCGTGCATGTCATACAGAAACGGCCTAGAAATTTCCAGGATGTAACATGAAATACAAAAATATGAATAAAATCCTAATAACCTTTGTAGAAACTTAGAAAATAAAGGACGTAAGTCTGACTGACTCAGCTTGCACAGAGACTAGTGGTATTTTACCTCAGTGAACATTTTAATGGTTTACGCCATTAAGAATTTCTTCTCAGATGCTTTCTTGCTTATAAGCCAGTGGGTAGGAGTTTATTGTTTGCTCATTTTAAACAAAGTAGGAGGAAAAAAAGTCAAAATCCCCAGACATAAAAAGAGGTAGAATGCTTCAACAAGGAAAAAAAAAAAACTAGCCTTTATAGAAATAAGACCTCAAACAAAACCAGCCCCCATGGTGAAGCGGGGCTAAGACACAGGGCGCAGACTCACAGAGCAAGGCATGGATTGCCTCGGCCAGGTCCACTTACCTGGGCTGTTTGCCAAGGGAGAAAGGAGAGCATCTTCTTTTAATCCAGAGGCAAAAACCATGCTGAGGGGAGTGCCCACCAGACTATGTTCATACCCTGACCAGGTTAGCGGCTTTTAGTGCTGACACGGCCCTGCTCCCCAGCTGCCGAGGGTCCCCAGTAAAGCTTCTGTGGAGGTAGAAATGAGCCTGCCATTCACTGGGTCCTATGCAGACCCAGCAGTGTCCCAGTACCACCAAGAGCCGGTCTGCAGACACAGGGACAGAGCAAGCCACCGCCCTAGTGGGGTTCACACCCATCAAATGCGCACCTCCTGCCTGACCACTGCTGTGGCGACTGTGCTCAGCTGGCTCCTGGCAGCACCTGCATTACTTTAAGAGATCACGAAGGTAGACAGGCAAGGCTGGTGCTCTACCACCTGAGCCATGCTGCTGCTTCTTGCTTTTTGATGAGTCCCCAGGGATACTGGCTTCAAGATGTAATCCTCAGATCTCAGCTTCCTGAGGAGCTAGGATCGGGTGTGAGCCACCAGCTTCTCTAAGGATCTTTTTAGGCGCCAACTTATGAAATGCATGCATATGTAATCAACTGCTTCTCTGGAAGTGTTTTCCTGGCATCTAGGCTGGCATGTGTAAAAGATGTGTTTTGCCTGTCACTCAAAACTTTTACTTTCAGAGTTTTTAGTTAGTAGGGCAGTTTTCTTAGAGAAGGCTTAATTTCCCATCCATTTGCGTGCCAGACCGACACCGTTTATAGTTTCAGACGACACATGTTTCCAAGTAGGTTTTACAGTTTTTTAGAATACAAGGAAAGAGCGGCACCATAAACCAGGATCCACCCACCCACCAGATCTGCTCTGGTCCCAAGACAGGGCAAGACTTTCACAGTCCCATTTGGGTCACCTCACTGTCTGCCAACTAGGGTAATGCATGCAGCTAGCAGATTCGAGTATCTATTCCAGACTGTGCCTACCACCCAGCAGCTGCTGGAGAAGACCAAGTCTCATTACTGAGAAACAAATGTAGTAAGAGCTAAGTAGAAAGAGGAGATACATCTTCTGCTAAATTACTCTATTACCTGAAAATATGCTGCAGGTCACAGTACTTTTAAAACACACACACACACACACACACACACACACACACACACACACACACACACACACCCTGACCAGAGCCAAGATTCAAGCATGTAACTTACTGGCCAGCAGTAACATGCTAAGGAGAAGGCTCTGGGCTGGGCAGTGAGTGCCAGCAGGACCAGATGGTACGTTTACATCACAAGCTAATCAACTCCGAGTGGGAATAAGAAGGGAATAAATGATGATTTCACCACAACCTATTTTCCTTAAGAAATCGGAGCGACTACAGGGCCTTCAAGATCCACTGCCCCCTGCTTGGGAAGCAGAGGGCGTCTGTGGTTTCCAGGATGCTCGCTGTCGTTTCCTGGAAGGGCTGGAAGTCCATCTCCAGATGAAGAAAACGATCAGCAGAAAAAAGAAGTGGCACCAACCCCCGCCCCCCAAAGTTATCTAGTGGTTAAGTAGTCACCACCCAGCCCAGACTGTTAACTCAAGAAATTCACTAGTTCTCTTCTTTAATTATGTTTTTAAGTGTGTGTGTGTGAGTGTGTGTGTGTGTACTGGGGTCTAAACTCAGGGCCTCGCACTCTCGTTTGGCTTCTTCCACTCAAGGCTGGCACTCTACCATTTGAGCCACAGTTCCACTCTGGACTTTTGCTGGTCAATTAGAGATGAGATCATCTCCTGGGTCAGGTTGGCTTTGAACCTCGCCACATGTACAGTAGCCCCACATGGGGCAGGAGAGGGAGGAGCAGGACAAAGAAGGAGCTCAGGCCATGTGAGGGATTTTGGCCTTTGTTCCCAAACCCACAGAGGACACTAAAGAGATCAGATCAGAAGAGCAAGGAGATTTAGAATGACAAAACTCAGAATTAATACAAGGAAGGTCTAAGCAGACTAGAGACAGAAGCAAAGTCCAGGATAGTGGCTCCGAATCGGGTTGGGGGAGACAAACGAGCTGCAGGTTCAACTGATGGGAGATACAGTGTCTCTCAAAGGACAGGAAACTTCGCGTAGAGGAAAGAGGCCCTGCTGCGCGAAAATGGAGGCAAGCGGGCCCCACGGTGGAGAGCCAGGAACAAAGAGACACTGGAAGCAAAGGCCCATGGGAAATAAGTGGGGAAGACCAGGTAGCAGGTGGGTCCAGACATGGCTAGTTTCTCGGTCAGAGGTTAGTGAGGGCCCAGCTGTTTTCCATGAACACCTTCAGGGCTGTCGCTGAGTGCCACAGCCTGGAAGAAGCAAAGAGTCGTTCTAAGAAGATGACAGGATAATGGCTTGACCATTCATGAGAACATACAGGATGAGGTTAAGCTGCAGTGAAGCATAAACAGCAACAGAAACAGAGGAGAGACAAGCTTGCCCTTCAGGTGAAGGTGGTCAAAGGTGATTCAAGAAGGAAGACCATGATGACCTGATGCAGAACAGACACTAGTGAATGAGATACAGTGGACAGATACAGGCCAACTTGGAGGGACAGCAGGAGGAGGAGGAGGAGGAAGAGGAGGAGGGAGGGCTCCATCACAGCGGAGCACAGATGATGGGCTTACTTCTTGGACAGTGTTTGGTGGAAACCAGGATGAGAGACTCAGCGATGTTAGCAACTCATTTCTCTAAAGGGGATACTGCTTCTAATAGACCTTAGTCTCAAAGTCCCAAAGCAGTCTCAGGCTACCAAAGCACTTAAACGTTTAACTTCTTATGCTCATGTCAGCGTATGTGAAGACACTGAATTTATTTTCCAATCTGTTCATTAAAATTTTTATTCAAGAAATTCTTAGTGATACTTGTGTGTATGTGCACACACACGTGAGTGCACCTGAGCATGCATCTGCTGTGTACTGGGGGCTTGAACTCAAGAACTCAAAGGGTTTGCTTGCTTGGCTGGTGCTCTACTCCTTGAGGCATGCCTCTAGCCTGGCTTTTTAACTGGCTAATTGTAGCTACTAGGCTGGCTTGGAATCACAATCCTCCAATCCAGCCTCCTGAGTAGCCAGGATTACAAGTGTGAGCCACTGGTGCCTGGCTTTGCAGCCGCTCTTGACATAAGCTAATGGTAACAGACGTACTCTGGGGGTTTGGTGATGAGTCCCTTTCTCTCTTTTCTCCCTGATCAGATGAAGGGCCTGAGAAGAAAAGGTCACAGACACAGCAAGGAAGAGGAACCACATTCTCACTATGCAGCTTTGGGTGGTAGAAAACATCCTGACAATGTTGCATTTTCCCATTAAATGAATACAGCCAAAGGGTTAGAACAGATAAAAATCAGCAAGTGACACCCTGGGTGGGTGTGTTCCTCAGGTGGGGACTTTGCCACGTCTCAGATGTGATGCACACTCCCACGGGACTGGAAACGCGGGCTGTGTCTATAAACCGGAGCGCCCAGAGGAGCTTCGCTGGTAGAAGAGGGAGACCCACACCGCTGGCCATCCTCTCTCCTGGCACTGTGGCCACGTGTCTGGCTGCTATTATGTGGTGGTACCCGACCTTTCACAAATGAAGAAAAACGTAAAAGGAGGTGGGAAACCTGTCCGTGTGGAAGGATCGCTTCTTTTTCAAGCGGTGTCCAGTTTCCTCTTGTCTGGTCAGATGGCTTAGGGAGATAAATCCTACAATAAAAACTGGTCACTCCCGGTGGAGCCTGAGAAATCAGACATCAGAAAGCACAGGCGTGCATGTTCAAAGCCATTGTCACCCTGGTGCTCTGACAAGTATAGAGGTGAGGACGAGCCCGGGACCAGCGTGTAATCGCACAGACCAGTAATTCACAGCACTGCTGGCAACACTGCATCAAAGATGGAAAAATAAAAGTCTGCCTTAATGCACTGAGAAACCATTGTTTTGGCAGACTGAATTTTTAAAATTAAGTATCTCCTCTAATATGCTTGTTTTGGTAACATGTGGCTGCATTTTGACTAAGTGAAACAAAAATTTAGTAATTTCCTTGTCCACAGAAGCTCCAGGGGTCTCCTGGAAGAAAGAAGGGTAGAAATAACGTGAAGAACTTAGCCAGGCAGCAGTGGCTCACACCTATAATCTTGGCTACTCAGGAGGCTGGGATCTCAGAATCAGTTCGAAGCCAGCCTGGGCAGGAACGTCCTCTTATCTCCAATTAACCAGCAGAAATGCTACAAGTGGCGCTGTGGCTCAAGTAGTAGCTCTCCAGCCTTGAGCAAAAAAAAGCTAAGGGACAGT